CATGGCACTCTACCCAGGGGGACAGCTTGAGGCTCTGTCTCAAAAAAAAAAAAAAAAAAAGATTTTAAGTGAAAATCTTTCCACAAACATAGAATGAGGTAAAAGAATGCTGTAGGATCATCATCGTCTCTACAGTCTTTGTCCACTTAACAATCTCAATTTCATTTGACTAACTTCTCTGACAAAGTAATAAAATCTGTCTTCATAGAGAAATAATGCTGCCTTTGTCAAAGTCTTAAAATGCCTGCCTTCCTTGGATATCCAAATAAACAGCCAGGTATAATCACTGGATGAATAAAAAACAATGAAGAGGATACATTTCCAAAGTGAAAACACTTCGAATTTCAGAATGGGTTTTTTCCCCACTCCATTTTGAGGAATGGAGCTCTTTCCTCTATTAGCCCTCCAGCCCTCCACTCTGCATTCACTAGAAAGAACAGATACCCCTTCTGTCAAATCTTTTTCATAACTTAAGCTATGAGGCAAGGTTCAGTATCACCTGAATGACAAGCTATTTCTATTTAAAAACGAGATTCAGAGTGATGATGATGCCTGCCTGTGTACTGATACAGATGGCACACTTTCACCCACTGAAGCCACCGCAATGTAATTTCTCAATAGGTAACTGGACAGTGCTTTCTTCCTAGATCCAGATAAACCATCATCCAACATTTAATTAACAGAAAGATAGGGGTGCTCAAACTTTTGATCAGCAGTAAGGAGTGCTGAGAAAGGTAAGGTAAAGGAATCTCCCTGGGCCAAATGGATACAGTATGGAGCTTTTCTTTATCTTTCTATACTAAACTAGTTACTGGTAGATTTTTAAAAATGCCATATATGCTTATAAAACTCAGGCTGCTTCCATAAAGCCAGTGCTTATTAAATGTTAGCATACCAAAGAGGGAAAAACACTGCCATTTTAAGCAATATACTTAAAATTTCAAAAATAAAACAGCCTATAAGAAATAGCACTTTCTACACAGGTTAGGTACAAACTGCAAAAGTATTATAGTCACAACCACAGTTTTCAGGAGTACTCAGTCCTTTTTTAATTTTTTTAAAGAATAAATGCTAGCAAATTTTTATTTTCACCAAGTTCATCTATTATTAGAGCACAAAAATCGCTAGTTTAGGACTTGAATTTAAAAAGAAACACAACATGCAGAATGCTATTTCTCAATATGGCTGTAGAAAAATTTAAGTCAAAGAAGTGGAATGAGTGAGACCAGGCAAGACTGCAGTACAGACGCTCTCCACAAGAACTATAATTTAGTCCAAAAGGAATGAGCGATCCTCTCTACAAAGTAGGGGTGAAATAACAAAATTGATAATCTGTGTTTTATCTTGCTTTTAATATAGGATGGGCAATGCATTCTTCAGACCATGGACATTAAATATGCTTTCAAAACCAAAGTGTACTTGATATTTTCACAAACTCACCCTTCATTCTTTACCTTAACTTCTGTATTGTTACATTACTAATAATTGTACTGCTACAGCTAAATCAACTAAGTATCAGTTTATGTAGTGTTGCTCCAAAGATCTACAAATAGCAGGCTCTATGCTTACCTAAAAAGGAATTTTTTAAAACAAAGGAGAAAAGAAATAATGTTCCAATAAATGGCACTGGGCAAAACATATATAACAAACACATTCAGACAGAGTCTCAGGTGCTCCTCGGTTACTATTAGAAGGACAAAATGCTTGCAGAAGATCTTGAGAAAACCACCTCTCCCTCTAAACTTTCACCTTCTACACAGCGTTAGCTGTTGCAACTGAGATGAAGGATGAATGCTTTTAGGCAAAAGTGAAAAATCTATCTACAAAGCCAAACAGCAAAATCTGTAGTGACTTTCTGCAGAAGGCTCTCTTCTCTGGTGGCAATACTCTTTAGTACATATCCAGGATAGACTAAATTGAAACAGAATCATTTCTGATACAGTAGCAATCCTTTCATATACTCTACTAAATATTACAAAATTTCAAAAAATACATAAATATTCCTTGTACCATGGATTACACACCAGTTTGGGACCGCCTGATGAAGTTGTGGCTACTAGTTAGACATTGCACCTCAAAAGTAGTGCCATCTGCACACAGTGAAGGGATGCAATGGGGAGGGCTCCCGAGAGATGGCAAATTACCTCTAAAGTGAAAAGTTTGGGATGGAGTGTCTCCAAATTAGAGGCGAGGAGGATATGGGTAGAGGAGGTAGGCAGGGTGAAAGGATTTTGAAATAATACTGCTTAGGAGTGTATATTTGAAGATAACTACTATACCTTGTCTATCCTTGATCCTAATCTTGAATTATGGCATGTTCATGCAAAATACCATTTCTACTCTAGGAAGAGGAGCAGACTGTTAAGAAAAGCATATTCTTAAGGGAAGATGTGAAGGTATCACTGTCATTAACTGCTATTTTACTTGGTCAGTCTTTTGGCTACATCGCTATATGCTATTTCAACCTCCTTATCGCTGGGACAGGTATTGGTGAACTCATCCCTTTTATATGCATTAGTTAAGTATCTCCAGATGCCAGTCATTCCTTTTGGAATATCAAAGTTGCGGTATTTCTTGGCCACCACCTGAAATACGAAGAGATCAAAAGTTAACAGATTCATTTTGCATGTCTTGTAAATGAAGCGTATCTCTGATTTTAGAGACAATTATCAGTGCCATGAATCTCTAAGAACTGCTTCTCTTTGAAAAGAAATCTGTCACCATCATTCTAACTGGAGTTTTAAATAACAACCAAGACTGTAAGCTGCACCAGGGATCCCAAAGATAATGGTGACTGAAAAGGTCTGCCTTGGACGTCCAGAAAGACAGCCACGTATAATAATTCAATAAATACTTTAATACATACACACACACACACACACACACACTAGATCTGTTTTTCTTATCTTAGATCTTTACTGCACCACAGCGCTTATTACTAGTCTACTTAGCCCCGTGCCTACCCAGTGTTTCACATAATAAATGCCTTGATATTTTTCTCCTTGAATGGAAAAGGTCAGGTGATCACAAAATAGAATTTAACAATAAATCTGACCATATAAATTAGTATAGCAAACTCCAATTCAAAGTCATCTATTATATCTTTGACTTTGTGTGCAGTTATTACAAAAATTCTTCTTTCTCATATGCCTCAATTTTAAGACATAATTGTCCCTTTAATGAACTCTAGAGTGTTTCCACCATTGGCTAAACCACATTAAGTTACACTGTTTGGGGGGCTGCTAGTCACATGAGATGGGGAATGTTTTAAGCACAAAGGAGGGGCGACCTTTGCAAATGCAACCCTAGGTAACAGCAACGTCACACCACAGCCCACAGCCCTACCTTGACAATATGCAGTTTGGGCAGCAGGTTGCAATCCGCTAAAGTCATTTCATTGCCGTCCAGAAATTTACGTGTAGAAAACTTAATGTCCTCCATACTATTTTCATCAATTTCATCAGGGAGCGGAGAATTCAGGTAGTCGTCCAGTTTCTGCAGTGTTTTCAAGAGACCCCTCTCGAGTGCTGAAAAAAGATGGGAAATACTGTAAGAAGGAAAACCAGCCGAGCTCCAAAAGAGAAGCATTATCCTTTCAGTCAGTGATTGTTACCAACTGACACCAGGTACCGCAGAACAAGACAGACAAAGTCCCTGCTCCCCTTGCACCTATATGCAGGGTGGGAGGATGAGACAAATTGTTTAGGTAAATGTATAAATAAGCATGGTAGTTTTAGACAGTAGTATTTATAAAAACTTGTTAATAACTAGATGCCCCCTACCTGAACACAGGTGACATTTAAACTGGAAAAATAGATGGGAAAAGGCAAACATATTAATTCAAATCAAGGAATTCTGCGGAGATTCTTACCCTCCATTTTAATTCCTGCTTCTCCAGGAATATTTGGATTTACAACCAAGAAATGTGTTAAGAAACTCCAAAAACAAACAATCTAAGCAGTAAGCCTGGGATTTCTGAACTATCTTTTAATATACAAGAAGCCAAGCCAGGGCCAGTGGTTCGTAACTGTAATCATAACATCATAACACTCTGGAAGGCCAAGGTTAGGCGGACTGCTTGAGCTCAGGAGTATGAGACCAGCCTCAGCAAGAGCGAGACCATGTCTCTTTAAAAAAAAAAAAAATAGCCAGGCATTGTGGAGGTGGCTGAAGCCCCAGCTACTTGGGAGGCAGAGGTAGAAGGATAGCTTGAACCCAGGAGGTTGAGATTGCTGTGAGCTATAAGGTCACAGCTCTCAACCCCAGGCCAACTGAGTGAGACTCAAAAAAAAAAAAAAGAAAGCCAAGGATAGCACTATCTTATACCAAACGTACAGAGGTCTGATTAGAGTTCAATTTATAATACTGAAATGGGAGATTCTTTAGCCAAATAGATTAAGATGCTATGATTATTAAGAATCAGAGAGAAATGAGACATCACCATCACCAGACATTTGGAAAGTCAAGGTTAGTGGCCCTTAGCAGAAAGGGGATGGGAATGTCATTAGAAAAGAAAATGGAGTAACAGCAGATGGACCTTCTTACCCTTTACTTCCTAATCCCCCTCACTTCTCCTCCATGCTCAAAATAAATGAATTCACACTGATACAGTAACTTGCCATAAAAGAAAGTAAATATCATGAGATGACACTCCCACGTAGTTATAATTTGAATAAAGTTGGACCCTTTAAGGAAAAAGGCAAATTTTAATGCTGCATATCTGATATTTCACGGACAACATAAAAATGCCCTGACCCAATACCTCTTCTTCCAAGTTGCCGCCACCCACTTATCCCTTGGCCCCTTCATGGTAGTCCAGGCAACAGGCAGTAGTTAGGTAAAGGGCCACATGCAGAACAAGGGATGAAGATATTTTCGGAGATAAACCAATAGAGCACTAAGACCAAAATTAATCTGGAGAACAGGGAGCAGATGTATTCAACAAAATATAACTTGAGTCCCTACCACGTGCCAAGTCTTGATTTATTTAATTTATTATTTATTGACACAGAGTCTCACTTTGTCACCCTTAGTAGAGTGCGGTGGTGTCATAGCTCACAGCAACCTCAGACTCTTAGGCTCAAGTGATTCTCTTGCCTCAGCCTCCTGAGTAGCTGTGTCTACAGGTGCCCACCAGGACACCCAGCTATTCTTAGAGACAGGGTCTCGCTCTGGCTCAGGCTGGTCTCAAACTCCTGAGCACAACTGATCCACTTGCCTCAGCCTCCCAGAGTGCTAGCATTACAGGTGTGAACCACCACTCCTGGCCCCCAAGTGTTGTTTCAAGCCCTGATAAATTTCATGGTTGAATACAACATAAAAGGTTCCTAATTCTCAGAGAGTTTAGATCCTCGGGAGAGGGAGCAGTGCCAAGAAGCTGGTCAAGAACACCACCCGGGGTGAATGCTGGTGCCAGCTACTGAAACATTTACCTTCCTAGAGGGAAAGCAGACTTAAGAGGATGTGGAGATGAGTTCAGTGATTGTGCGGAGTTGGAGGTGCCTGCAAAGGTAGGTGAGATGTCCAAAAGACAAGGCTTCAGGGTCACAGACTGGGCTGGAACAATATTTGGACATCTTGACATAAATGAAAAATGATACCATGGAATAAAGGTATTAAACAGCACCATTCAATAAAGTTTTAAAGACTAATACCATCATAAAGGAGTATAAAGTTAGTTCAAAAAAAGAAAATGGGCTAGGCACCTGTACTCAGTGGTTAGAGTAAAGAAAAAAAAAATCAAATAAAGTATGTTGAGGTTAACCACTGGGGGGCAGTAGCAGGCCAAAAGAAAGTAGCTCCTTGTCATCTATAAACTATTTTCAAGTAGCATTATTATTCTCCAATAACCCTGCAGATATTTCTAAAAGCCTACTTCAAAAACTTTTAAAAAATTAGTAAGTGCAAAAGAGGTTGACACAATCAGCTTAAAATTAATTATGAAAATTAAAGCAGCCCTTTTAACCTATGAGAATACAACCAAAGTAACAAGATTCACACCCACCATCGTCAGGGTGTGGGGAAACCAATCTTCCCTGTTAGTAGGAACCTAAACTAGTACAGATTTTGCGAATTTGACAAAATGCAGCAAAATTTAAAATGGACAAATCTTTTACTTGGAATCTAGCTCAAGGACATTCACTGGCAGCACTGTCACAGTAAAAAACACTTGAGACAATCATTAGATGCCTATCAACAGGGAAATGGTTCAATAAAAACCCATATTATAGAGTACTAAGTAGAATTTCTAAAAATGGAAGTACACCTGTATTTTGATATGGAAGAGTTTCTACCACATAAGTGAAAAAGACAACCGCATGTGAATATGTACACAATACACATTTACATAAAATGTTCTCAGAATTACATAGAAAAAAGGATGCACACAAAATTGATGGGGAAAAGGTCATGTAATGTGATTAACAAGGGGCAATGATGTTTTGTGAAATTTATTTCTTACTATTTGAACTTCATACAAGCATCTCTTGCTTGTATGATTTGAATCAGTAAAATTTAAGGCAGAAAACATTCTATGTAACAACAGTGCTTCTGTTAGTGAAACATAATCTAATTTATGATGAAGACAACAGACACTAAAAATTACAAGCACTTACGTGAATGAAACTATACAGCAGAACCTCTATAAGTTGACCACCCAAGGAACTGTAACAAACTGGTCAACATGCGGAACTAGGCCTCCTGTACTGGAGTACATGTGGTGCCTGTCAAGTCTATGAAGATTAGGTCAACTTAGGGAGGCAGCCAACGATGGAGGTTCTACTGTATTTTAAAGCTACTGCTAGTTTTAATCAAGGGTAATCACAGGGGAATAAAGGTAATCATAGGGCAATCAAAGGGTAATAAAGGGTAATCAGTTTTAAAGGCTAGACTTCCATCACTGGAAAATGGAAAAAGATAATGGGTATTTGAGGATTAAATACGCAATACAGTTTTATAGCTATGATGATAAACAACCATCCTCTGACTCCCAACACTTTTCCTGAGAATGACCAAGAGGCAAGTGAGAAAAAGGGGAAGAAAAAGGGGGGGGGGGGGCAGAGGAGAGGCAGGAGAGGCAAAGGGGAAGGAGGGATCCTGAATGAAAAGGAGCTAATCAAACCTCTCAGATTCCTTGCCTCCATTTAAAAATAGGAATTTGCCTCCAAGTATATCCAACAATGCTAAATCGTTTCTCTCTAAAGAAAATACAAGTGCTAGTTACATTTGATATCTTAATAAATTACAAAAATTAGTGTCACAGAATTGAAAAAACAGGAGCTGAGAGACAGATCATACCTAATCTCATTCCCATAAAAGAAAATTACCCATTAGTTGCACTTTTAATGTTTAAAAGGTTACACAAACTTTACTCCCAATCAACTTAAACACATTACTAAAAGAATGACATATTTTGTCTTTCATCAGGGTTTCCTTTTCTTTTATTCTTTAAACTGTTTTACTTTATAGCCCTGTCTAAGCACACTGTGCTTCAGTTTCACTTTCACCAAAAATGTAGCATGCAGGTATCTAATGCCTTAGTTAGGATTAGATCCTAAAAGGTCTTAAAATTGCCCAAACATGCTGGATTTTGTAAAATATATAATAGGCTAGTACTAACGCAAAGGCTTATCTACTCTGATTTACCATGTAAAAGGACAAATCCATCTGTCAATATTTGACTGGGTGTCTGGGGGAATAAGGATGTGAATCACTAATTCTTAGCATTAGTAAAGGCATTTAATTGCACTGGACAGATACCTGCAGCAAAAATACGTAAGGAGAGACTCCTTTAAGCTCCAAAGTGATTTGGAACACTGCTTTCTAAAGTCTCAGGGCAGGTCTCTGTGGCAGTTGCTTGGCAACTGGAATTTTTATTTACCAAGAGGTAATTTTATATAAAGCCTTCCAGGTTATGCACTGGGTAACACACTATGTTGTTTGTTCTTCTCAGCTATAGCTTTCTGAGGACAGTTAATAGTAGGTGGCTACTCAAGACAGTAACAAATTGATAGGAAAAAATAGAATACAAAGTTATACTTAAATGAGTCACTTTTTCCCTGTCTTCCCTCATCTCCCAAAGCAAACACATTGTATTTCTTTCTCTTCCCCACCAACTGTCAGAAGAAATTTAACCACCTTCCAGCTCTCAAAAGTTGCACAGGGAAATAAAAACATTATAACTTTGGCTTGGGGCCTGTGGCTCAAGTAGCTAAGGCGCCAGCCACATACACCTAAGGTGGCGGGTTCGAATCCAGCCTAGGCCCGACAAACAACAATGACAGCTACAACCAAAAAATAGTGGGGCATTGTGGCAGGTGCCTGTGGTCCCAGCTACTTGGGAGGTAGAGACAGGAGACTCGCTTGAGCCTAGGAGTTGGAGGTTGCTGTGAGCTGTGATGCCACAGCATTCTACCCAGGGGGACAGCTTGAGGCTCTCTCAAAAAAAAAAAACAAAACAAAAAAGAAAACATTATAACTTTAACTAAGATTACTCAAAGAACTATGCAGTAAGAGAACCAGGATATAAAAGGATAGTTTTATTAGAAATACACACACACAGTCAGCCTGCATGAGGAAGAGTAGAACAGAAAAGACACCGTGCCAACCTGAGGGAATGTCTCTACCAAAACTAGAAAAATTAGCCAGGTATGACGGGCATGTGTAGTGCCAGCTACTTGGGAGGCTGAGGCATGAGGACTGCTTGACCCCAGGAGTTTGAGGTTGCAAACCATGCTCGAGGCCATGGTACTCTAGCTTGGGCAACAAAGTGAGATTCTGTCTCAAAAAAAATTTTTTTTAAATAATAAAAAGAAAAGACATTGTAGAAAGGAAGAATCCAATATAAGCTTTTACTTAGTGTGTATATTGCTTAGGCAGAAACATTTCTCAGAAAAAAGGCCAACTACTAAAGAAAACTACTTCCAAACCAAGGCAGCTACTGGAACACGTCATAAGATATAAGCCAGGTCTGAGCACCATAGTTTTTCCCTGTCCTTTGCCACAGAAAAAATTTCATGCAGTGAGTATTATTCCCGAAACCAACAGCAAAAGACAATGAAATTCAATGCTGTATTACAAAATGCTGCAATCTTTGAATTTAAAAGTAAAACATAGCCTGAATTGCTTGGAAATCTACCTACTGCAATACGCAAGTGTTTCACTTTTTAAAAGATATTTGTTCTTGTTTAACGCAGATTTTTCCACCTTTGGATTCTTGTTCATTTGTTGCCATAAACTTTCAGTCAAAAAAACCACACGACCACACCCAAGTGACCAAACCATCTGAAACTGTGATGAATTGTAACATTTTTAGAAGCCTGCTTTACTGGTCATTACTGCTACTTTTAAATAAATACTAATGCTCTCTACATTTTCCCCAGAGAGAATAAGGCTTTAACATCCCAAAGAAAAGAAAAAGGGATATTACTGTAAGTAGTTCATTCGTGGTTCATTAAATGGAGCCTCTTTAAAGAGACTTCCATTCGCCAAGCTTGTTTGGTAAATGAAATAATTAAATGGCTCCTTTAATAAATAAAGGAACATTGCACCTGTACTACTTAAATAATTCTCACCATGAAAATAGGACTTGATTGGGCAGCGCCTGTGGCTCAAAAGGGTGCGGTGCCAGTCTCATATGCCGGAGTTGGCAGGTTCAAACCCAGCCCTGGCCAAAAACTTAAAAAAAAAAAAAAAAGAAAATACGACTTCAAAATAAAATTCTAGTTTTAGGATGCAGAGTAATTTGGAAGGCTAGTGAGTCTAATTACTTTCTTAAAGCAACTCCAAAATTGCTCTTTAAGGGTAATTAACACAAAAAAACCACTCAGGCTGATTTTCGGCTGCTGGCAACAAAGGGCGAACAAAATAAACGTTTTGTAATAGTTGAACTCCATCAGTCTGTTCCAAGTCACCACAACCACATCATCCATCGTTTCTGATGAACTGTTAAATCTTTGCACAGCTTCCTTCACACTAACTTCTCAGAAGACTGTAAGAACCGTCAGATTCAGTAAATATCTCATCACCTCCCCACCACGTGGACTGTGCCGCTAAGAAACACAGAGAAAAAGCAATTTGAGGACTTAACTCTCCTTTGTCATCAAATTTCTGATCAACTCTGAAAGACAGTTTTTAATATTTACAGGGATGTTTAAGGATTGGTTTATAATCACTGTCATTGTCTGTTGTCGTAGCAATTCAATTTTTTGTTGTTTTTTTTTTTACCTTCATTAGCCTCTGGCCTTGAATTCTTGATATAGGCAGAGAATTTGGCAAAGATGTCCATTCCAGCAGTATTTGACTCTGGGTGTTTTGGTGAAAGCTTTAAGTACCTAAATAGGGAAGATGATAGATTACAAATCCTTCAAAGACACATTATTATAAGTTTTCTCAACAAACCACAATGCTAGCAATCACTAGACATCTCTTAACAGTTATTACCCTAAGAAATGCCATCAGCTGTTTCTTCCTTAGGAAACAAAGCTCTGAACAGTCCACATATTACTATTCCAGCAACTAACAGTCCACCTCCAACTGATAAATTGAGATGCTGGGGAGATAGCTGACTTGTTCAGAGATTTGTGCCAAGCCAACGGGCATCTTGGAATGAGCTCTCTAGAGCCGCACTTGTCCAAGAGAACTTCCTGTGACGATGGAAATGTTCTCTAGCTTCATTGTCCAATAGGTGGCCATTAGTGCCGTGTAGCTATTTGGATAGAAATTAAAACTAATCACAAAATTAAATATTCGCTTCTTCAGCTGCACGAGTCACATTTCCAGGGCTCAGCATCACTGGACAGCACAGCTCTAGAGCCTTCTAGACAGTGCTGCCAACCAGATCCTTAATATGCTATGCACCGAGCCAGCATGATGAAGCAGTGCCAGAGAACCCTGATGGGAGGGAAAAGGCCCACTCTGGTCAGGCAGCTGGATGATCCACAGCAGGTTAAGGACAAAAACTGCTGGCGGCAGATCATTCACTTCAAAACTACACCCGGGGACTTTCAAAATCTCCCATACATTAAGTATTACATAGTACATTTAAGAGTAACACTGAGGCTTGGCTGTGGCTCAAGCAGCTAAGGGGCCAGTCACATACACCTGAGCTGGAGGGTTCGAATCCAGCCTGGCCCCACCAAACAACAATGACGGCTACAACCAAAAAATAGCCGGGCATTGTGGCAGGCACCTGTAATCCCAGCTACTAGGGAGGCGGAGGCAAGAGAATCGCTTGAGCCCAGGAGTTGGAGGTTGGTGTGAGCTGTGATGCCACAGCACTCTACCCAGGGCAACAGCAGGGGAAAATGGGATGTCAGAAATGATATCTGAGGAGTGCTCTGTTACGTTGTCACAAAGTTTTTCCGCTTTGAGAACAGACAGGGCACAGAAGCTTTTTAAAACCACATCCCCCCATATTTTACATATTTGGATTTCAAACACACTCAGTGTGTATTTCTCCTTCAAATCGCAAAACACATGTGAAAGGGCTGTTCAGCAGGGCTTGCACCAGCTCCAGAGAATCAGGGCTAGCGTATAGGCGAAATGCCTATGTGCCTCTGGCCAAAAAAGCCGTTGGAGAGAGAGCAGTGAAAAGACTTTGTGCAGGCATACTTGTGAGAAACTGAGGCAGGATCCCACTGGCCATGTTGGTTGTGAGCCTAACATGACCAAGGCTTTGGCTGGAATAGCATTTACTGTGTTAAAGAATTAAGGTTGACTTTATAAGGCCAATAAAAAGCCCTTTGGAAAACTGGCCAGATACCCATCAGTAACCTTTCCTGATCTGTGGTAAGTAACAAAGGTCACTTACTGATGGGTCTGGGAATGGAAATGTGCTCAGGAACCTCAAGAGAAGAGAAATTTACCCAATGCATACAGGTATCTAATGGCACAGATGAAACTTGGGCTGGTGAAAGGCTTTTGAGAAGTCCAGCCTGAAAATTCCTTATAAAAGGTTCCAGCAAAAACTTCCTGACTTAAGGCTTACATGGGAGCAGAGGTTTGCACACAAATTCCTGTATGCCCAAGAAGTTTCTTTATGCCTTGTTTAAAGATCCAAAGTAATAGCCTCCAAACAGCAAGGCCAGCAAGGGCAGGTATTCAATCTACCTTGTTCCTCCATAGCAGCCTCAGGCATCATCAGATAAGAACAAAGAAATAATGGCTAACAACATGTTCTGCATTAAGTTACGTTAAATTGGGTTATGTTGAAAGGGTTATGTCAAAAGATGTATGTTGAGTGGATTATCGGAAGCTAATCATGAGGTAGTCAAGTGATGTTTAAATGGATCAATGAGGTCATTGCTGTATTGTGCGGATGTACAAAATTCCCTATATAAACCAACCACAAATAAAGAAGCTCGCCATTTTGCTTGAGCGAGCAGATGGTCACCTTATTTAAAACACAATTTCAATAAGCGTGCTTATTCTCTGTGACACTGCTTTTCTGTAAGACCCTTACAGCAACCTTCACAGAATTCAGCTTTAGTCCCAGTTAGGGATGATAAATCAGTGAGGAAATGTCACTAGGGAATGGATTTGGGGACAGTAAGGCTTTAGGAAAAAAATCTTACAATGAACCAGTTATTGCGATTTATTAAAGACACAGTCTCGTCCGTCTTTTTTTAAATGAAAAGTGAAGATGAGGTCGTTTTTAAAAGAAATTTAGTTCAGTTGCAAGTTGTGTTTCAGTTTAGTTTTTATATTCCTGCTTCTTCTGTTTACTTTTTCAAATTCAGTAAGAAATGTATTGTCTAAAAATTTAGCACGGTACTAACCTGGTAAGGAGGATGTGAAACATCCATGGAACACCTAGAAGCTCACCATATCTCTCTTGTTAGTAGGTCTACCTAGTCCACCAAGTAGGAGACTCACTTATCTCTCAGTTTTTAAGCTTCAAGATTTCTCTTATAAACACATTTATTTACATAAAGCATTTTTCAGTGAAAAATTATACTAAATGAGTTTCACCCAAATTCATATACCTATGTCTGGCTATATTTCCCCCCCCTCCTAAGTGCCTCACTATAGAAGTTTCCACAGTCTTTCTCACTCCTTCTCGTATTTTCTTTTTGCCTGAGCTGAAAAAAATTAATCCCAGGTCCAACAAGCCTGGACTTCCCTCGACTATAAAAACAACCAGCCTCCTTAAATGTTTGTGCTGCTTATAATACATACCTTCACTGATCCATTTCAAACAAAAATAGTGCAGGGAACAGAAGTGCCTTTTCAAACATCTATGTTTTCCTCTAGCCAAGTTTCCCAAATTAGTTTTCTTTTCCCCAACCAGTATTTAACTGCACCTCCTTTTTCTAATGAAGTAAACCTCATAATTCTCAAAATAACTTACAGGAAGGCAGGTCTGAATTACAAATCATTTTATATATTCATTTTTATAATTATTGAATGGGATGTAAGGATGAGCATATGAAAGTATATCTCCTACTGTGCTTTTAAAAATATACAAGAGCTCCAACTAGAGAAACATCTTGGTGAACAAGTAAAATGAAGGAGGGCTTGTTATCAGCACATAGAAACAGATGCTATTGGGTGGTGCCCGTAGCTCAGTGGTTACAGTGCTGGCCACATACACCAAGGCTGGTGAGTTCGAACCTGGCCTGGGCCAGCTAAAACAACGACATCTGCAACAACAACAACAAAAAAGCCGGGTGTTGTAGCAAGCACCTGTAGTCCCAGCTACTCAGGAGGCTGAGGCAACAGAATCACTTAAGCCCAAGAGTTTGAGGTTGCTGTGAGCTGTGACACCATGGCACTCAACCAAGGGTGACAACAGTGAGACTCTGTCTCAAAAAAGGAATGAAATGATGTCGTTTGCAGCAACATGGATGGTAATTATCTTAAGTAAAGTAAATCAAACACAAAAAACCAAATATCACAAGTTCTCACTTATATGTAGGAACTAAAAAAATTGAACATGTAGAGATAGAGAATAAAAACATAACAGACTAGGGTACGAGTGGAGGTAGGGAGACGATACACAGAAGAGGCAGTTAAAGGGTGTAGACATACAGTAAAAATAAATTCATCAGAGAAAGATGACTATACTTAACAAAAACATGCTCAGGTGGCAGGAGGTGGATACTCTAAAACTCTGATTTGATCACTACACTTTATATACACATAACACATTTTTCATACCCCATAAATTTGCACAATTTTTTTAAAAAGGAATACTATAGCCAAAAGAGAACATTTACCCCAAATCTCTCATTTTGCCTAAAAGGAAGGAAATGATGTTCCAGAAAGCATGCACACTTGACCCCAAAGTCTGTTAGTAAAAGTGTGGACAAACTAAAGCTCAGATACTTTGTCTGCCTGGCCAGTGTTTTCTTTTTTTCCTATTACAAGTCAGATTCTCTCTAACAGATCAGTCAAATCCTAAACTTGTAGGTCCAAGTTCGATTTTTTTTTTTTGCACCTTCCCCAAAGATTACATTTTAATTCATCCATTACTATTAGTTTTAGCAAATAGCTTTGATCAAGCAAGAATGTTCAATTATTGTGAGTATTCGCTTTAACATTTCACAAAAAGAGAGGCAAATAATTCATAAAAGCCTATTTGTGAATGGCAGAAGAGAAATGCACGGCCGAGGTATTTAGACTTTTAGTCCTAACTAGCTAAGAAACTTCGTAGGTTTTGAGGAAAGATCACAAACATTTTCTCTTTTATGTTAATACCAAGGCTGATCACACAGCCTACTAAATAATCCATGTAAATTCTTTTACTGTAGTTCTCATTTGCAAAAATGGGTTAATAACACTTTATTGGGAGCTCTCTTCCAAATTTATTTACTTTCTTTCTATACCAGTGTTTTTCGATCTTTTTTATCTCAAACACCGAACCTATAGTTAAACTTCTGCGGCACACTTAAATTACACTGATCCAAAAAAAGAGTAAAAAAATAATGTACTAGACTTTTTTCTTCTTTCAAAAAATTTAATTAATGATCTTTAAAATTTTTTGTGGCCCACCTGACGTCCTTTCATGGCACACCAGTGTGTCGAGGCATACCAGTTGAAAATCACAGCTCTATTCCATCATTTATCAGTAAGTTAGCCAAATACACAGGCCTGTTTCAGTTAAAAACCCAAGTTTCAGAGCTGTCTGGCAAAGTTGTTCCTTCCTTCAACTAAGAAAAATACAAAAATACTTTCCTCGGAGAAGAAAAAGTTCACATTAAAACCTGCAGTTACAAACTCCAGCAAATTGGTTTAAACCTTCCATTTGTCTCTGAATTTTAAACAACTGCAGAGTAGACAATTGCTTGTATTTATATTTGTCAAGATTAAGTCAGGAAGGGCTCACATAAAA